CTGCAACGTTCAATCTACGGATTGAAACAAGCATCTCGGAGTTGGTACATACGTTTCGACGAAACCATTTCCAGTTTTGGTTTCAAGAAGAACTCTGACGAATCTTGTGTATACAAGAAGGTCAGTGGGAGTGTAATAGTATTCCTAATCTTATATGTCGATGACATATTGTTAATGGGTAACGATATTCCCGCTCTCACTTCTGTAAAGACGTGGTTGAGCGAGAACTTCTCCATGAAAGACTTAGGGGATGCTAGTTATGTCCTTGGCATAAGAATCTACCGAGATAGATCAAGAAAGTTAATAGGTCTAAATCAAAGTACATATATAGATAAAATCCTTGATCGATTTAGCATGTCTAACTCAAAGAAAGGATCTTTACCTATGACACCTGGCACGGTTCTTTCCAAGAGCCAGAGTCCTTCTACTCCCGAGCAAAAGGAACTCATGATGAAGGTTCCATACGCCTCTGCGATTGGATCCATCATGTACGCCATGATATGTACTAGACCTGATGTCTCATTCGCTTTAAGCGTGACCAGCAGATACCAGGGAAGTCCAGGAGAAGTACACTGGACAGCGGTCAAGAACATCCTCAAGTATCTTCGCAATACTAAGGATGCATTCCTGGTATACGGTGGTGAGAAAGAGCTAAAGGTGGTCGGTTACACTGATGCTAGCTTCCAAACCGACAGAGACGATTCAAAATCACAAGCAGGATATTTGTTTTGCCTGAATGGTGGAGCTTTTAGTTGGAAGAGCTTTAAGGAGGATACAACCGCCGATTCGACTACAGAGGCTGAGTACATAGCTGCCGCCGAGGCAGCTAAAGAAGCTGTTTGGATCAAGAAGTTCATTACTGAACTTGGAGTGGTTCCTAGTATTAATGACCTTATCTCGTTGTTTTGCGACAACACTGGGGCCATTGCACAGGCAAAGGAACCGCGATCTCACCAGAAAACCAAACACATTGTACGACGCTATCACATCATACGAGAAATCCTAGACAGAGGAGATGTGATTATTTGCAAAGTGGATACTAACGACAACATAGCCGACCCCCTGACCAAGCCTTTAGGAAAGCTAAAGCATGAGGGTCACACTAAGTCCATGGGCATTCGACCGATGCCAGATTGGCTATAGTGCAAGTGGGAGATTGTTGGAGTTGTGCCCTGATCGCCAACTGTTTATCGTTATTCTATCATGTATAGGCAGATATAATATGTTTACACATCTCATGCTAATGTAAACAAATATTATATTCCTAGATTTATATTTAAAAGATTTTTATCAGATAGTGTTCTTCTGCTGATGAGACTAACATCTTGAAATAAATATTTATCTAAATGTCCATAGTCGAGTATTAACGAGAATGGGATATCGTTAATGCATGTGAGACTAGTGTGTGTTGGATGTTTGACTTAGTCTCATAGTCAATAACGGTGTGTTCGCATCCGCACATGGGCAGATATTATCTAGAGATAATAGGATGCCGGACTGACCCATCCTAAAGATGTTGCTTGAACTTTTAATTCATGCTCTAAGCATCTTTAGCGCGACCACGGGTGTAACTATCCTTCGACTTGAAGTATTACGTTTTCTGCAAATGTGAACCCGCATGCTTTGATGCATTGTCCTAAGCCATATGAAATAAGGATGGTATACAGGCTTTGTTTTGGGTATGCCGCAGCGCGTATTCAGAAACGTAGATTACGTACATAGGATTTGTCACTACTCTTTTTAAAGAGATTAATGTCTTATGGGGCCCACTGATAAGTTATGACTAAAGAAATTGCATGGCCATGCTGAGATGCTTTTATGACGTCTGTTCCTATTAGTCAAGCTTGATAAATCAGTGAATGACTTAATGGATACAAGTTGGATTTTATTAATCCCTTGCATTAAGTTTAGACATTGAGACAAAGGGATACAGTTACACGGAGTCTGAGTCGTGTAAAGGTTTTGACGGTGCAAACGTCTTAACTTATAATCTGGGGGGGCAATAATGTGTTGCTAGATACCGCTTATTGCTTATAGTATTGGTGCAGAGCCAATACTATGGCCAGCTTTATAAGTGCCTATACGGGTCACACACTTTGGACAATTTAAGGAGTAAGATTAAACAATGGGATAATAAGTAATTTGTATATTTGTAAAAATAGTAAAATAAAATATTTTGGAATATAATATTATATATATAAATATTCGGTTATATATATTATATATATGTACCGATTAATGTATATATATTATATGTTGAATATTTTATTTTGGTTTGTCATTTTAATTATGAAAATAATTATTTTGACATAAACTATTTAAAGTATATTTGTATACTTGTTTAAAATGATATTGGTATTTTTATTTGATTTGAAATTAATTTTTATATTAATTTTTGGTGTCAAATAAAATACACTTTGAACATTT